AAACTACCCTCAACACCAAACAAATCATTCGCTGATTTGCTCTTGCCAATTCTCTTTGTTTCGTCTACACGTCTGGTTGTTTCGTCCAGCAGAAACCATTCACGATACTCCTCGAGCATCTTCATTTGTAGTTCAGTCAATTCACGTATCGAACCCGCCTTTCCACCCGCTTCGTTCGGCAACTTGTCCACTGAGATGTATTTGGAAACGTCCTCTAACGATGAATGAAAATACATCTGGAAAAATTGAATAAGTTCAGAAAAACATGTTTGAGTACTAGTTGTAAGTAAAACAGTAGCTTTGATTATAACTCTTTCAAATTAAAATTTTGATGTTAGGAGAAATTATATTTGTATAATTCTAGATTTGCTTGAATCTATATAAGTACAGTTAAAATTATTTATGACATTAAAATTATTTAATTGCTACATTACGTCGTGTTTGTTGCAAATATAAATGCATTTCTTAAAAACGCGGATACTGTTAAACAATTACACTTGAGGTAAATTTATTAATTTGTGATACTTACTACGTCTAGCAGTTCCTTTTTCATGAAAGGTTTTATCATGTTCAGTACCAATTCGAGAACGGATGATGTGTTTATGATATGAATTTCCTTTATATGAAATGGTGCTGCCTCTTGGAGATAATATAAATATTTCTTGAATCCGAATGGATTCATTCGTGTAAAATGACCAAAGGATAAATTGCTAGCGTCGAAGAAGAATATATGTCCGTTCGTAGTACCATCCACCAAAAAATAAATGTCGGTTAACATCAGGTAATATTTGGAAGTGTCATTAAAATCATAGAGAGTAGGATCTTCTAAATATGTTCCATATACTTTTTTATATCCATCTTTCGTTATTTCTTCCAGAGGAAAATATGTCCTTTTTAAATCAAAATAAATTATCTCAATTTATTAATATATCAGAATACATATGTATATCAAATAATATTAAAATATTAGCAAAAATATGTTGTAGTAGTTTTAAAAATCTACAATTAAATATTAGTACATATATACACATTACAAAATCTATTTTTCTCTACATGGATCTCAAAATGTGTATACTTAAAATATTTTAAATATTACAAATTAACATTTAACATTAACAAATTATACTACTACTATTTGCTCACTAACATTTACAAAGTCGCTTCTTACATGGCTTTGGAAGCTTGTCGTATTCTTTTTTCGCCGAGCGGGTCTCGATTGCAAAAAAATTCTGGTAAGTGCGTCCTGGTCGTGAAATAATTCTCAATTGTGTTTTTTGTTGGTTCCATTTGATAATTATTTCTGTGAAGACACAAGGCAAAAAAGGTATCCTCAACTTTTGGTAAGTGCGGTTGTTTTTTGCACCACTCTCTCAGTAATTGTATATCGGATAACTTCAATTGAGGATTCCTCTTCATTTCTTCTTCTAATGTGATACATTTTATTGATGACATTTTACCTGAATTGTAAATTAAAATTATTTTATTGTATTTGATTGTGAGTAGAAAAAGATCTGCGAAAAATTGATTACAAAAAAGTTAGTGCTTGTTATTTTCAATTTATTGTAAAAAATTTAACAACTAAGAAGAAATTTTGTAGAATTGGTTAGTGATTGGTCAAAAAATAAAATATGTTTTAATAAACAATTAGATAAAGTTATTTTCTGGACAACTAGTC